CCCTCCGCATCTCTGGCCTGTACCCCAGTTCTGTATGCAACTAAGATCTACCTAGCCAGCCACATGCAGACCAGGTGTCGGCCTTTGATCTTACAGAGGCCGATGGACTGTTTCCGTAAAGGGTCAGGTAGTCAACAGTTTGGGCTCTGCAGGCCACACACAACCTCTCTAGCACATTCCTGCTTATTTATTTTTAAATGATTTTTTAAAGCATACTTGGCTCAACACCAATAAACAGTCCTTGCCTTTGGCTCTCAGTCAGTCTTAGCCAGCCAATCATTGGTGCCCACTGGAGAGTCAAGGAGCACTTTAATAACAGCCACATGACCTGGTCTCTCACAAATAATTAAAACAAACAAACAAACAAGCAAAAAAACCAAACTAGGATAAGTATAAAATACGTAACTAAACGCCAATGAACTATTTCATAACCCAGTGTATTTTCCGAACGACATGGGCAAGAGTCAGGAAGCATATCCAAAAAGGGGGCTTATACCTAACTTTGAGACACCTTCCGTCACATTGCCTCTGCTCTTACAAGGGGCCGCATACGCTGACAAAATGTTCTCTATTTTACTCGAGTCAGGTTGTCAAAATAAACCCAGAATTATCAGAGTGGTTCTGGCTTCTTGGCTGCCAGCTACACTCATTTCCTTTCTTAATCCCTTAAAGAGAATTGTGCTTGGAAATGTTAAGGATAAGAGCATCCATTGCCGAGGCTGGCCTGCTACGCCGTAATCCCACTAGACAAATAACGTGGCACACATACAGGAAAAGTCACATCCAACTCACCTTCTTGGCGACTCTGGACACAGCTCAGCTGCAGAGGGGACACTGGAGGGGCCTGACCCAAACAACTGTAAAATTTACCAGGAGATTCTAAGCCTCCCTCCTACACCTCCCTACAAACAGGGCAGTGAGATTTAAAAAATGACTGCCTGTGGAGAATTACCTCTTATACTTTAAAATTCATCAAAAAGAAACTGGGAGCATGAATTATAGCATTATTTGTTGAATCGAATTGACCTGGATCACAATATAATTTGACTCTGTCTATACAAGCTTTACTGTGGTTGGCTCAATAACAAAAACCAACCCAGGATTTAGGATCACCCACAGCCCAGCTGGGCCAAGTTCCTGTGTTTCTTAATCAGTATCTTTAATTTTAGGCAAGAACACTTTAAGTAGCTTAAAAAAAAAAAAGATTTATTTATACATCCAAGAGCTGGGGTGCAGGCTAGAGGTGCAGGGGTGAGAGGATTCGCTAGAGACGGAGTGGGGAGCAGAACAGGCAGAGCCACTGATAGACACTGCTGAGAGCAGTGGGTGAGGTCTACACCAGGTGGGGCAACTCCCTGGCCTGATGGTCTCACACTGCAGGAGCTGCTGAGACTTAACTCCTTGCGCCCCTCGGGAGGCCCTAAATGCAGCTCAGAAAGACTAAGAACAGTGGTGTGCTGGAGTAGGTTAGCCGCGTAGCTGTTCAGTAAGGAGCCCCGGCTGACAACACAGCCACCACTAGATTACGTAAATTGACGTACTATGTCAAAAATAAAAATTCAAAGAACTCATCACTCCCCAATTACTTTATTTTGCCATTATCTATACTCTTGAGGTTATCTGCTTACATCTGTTTTCTCTCTGTGGTGGACATACTATGATCGCTGCGGAGTGCCCATCTCCAGCTCTGCGTTGTCATCAGGGTGCTAATCTGAAATGGGTTTAGCATACTTGGACCTGGAAGAGGCAGCTGCTGTAGCCAGGCCCTGCTCCCACTTCCTCTGGTCCATTTAGACATCTTACAGCACTCCTGGCTGAAGAGGGCACTGTAAGCTCTTCCGAGCACTGTCATTCTCAGAGTAGCACCATAAAAAATTTTCAAAGTTGCCTAAGTACTTTAAAAAAATAGAATTTTCTAGGGATCATTAAAAATGGCTGCCTTCCTGAGTATACATACCTTTTCTCTAAACTAGGAAGCATTTTCTTTCCCTTGAGTAATAGCAAACCATGTGTGAGAAATTTTGGAATTCCCACAATCAATGTTCAAGAGAAAGGCTTAAGATGAATGATTATTATTTGTCCTTTGTCTCTGACATCAAATACTCCCCCAGTAGAAGAGCTGCTGCCTAAGGCAACATAAACTGGCCCCAAGAACAAAGATGGACCAATTTGCTCGAGCCCACCTCCAGGCAGCGATTAAGTGCACAGGGCCACTCCTGTGGCAGCACAAATGGCCTGGGTGCCGTCGGGGCCTTTCCGACACACTGACTATCTCACTCGAGTTACTGAGCTGTGCAGAAAAATTGGACAATGAGGGAGGAAGCCCAAAACACGTATGGCAAGGGCATCCCCACCTCTCTGTTTTGTTTTCTGTCTCGGGAGGCCTGCAAATATCCTAATGCCTAAGCTCAACTGGAGAAACAGACACTGGATCTGTGCTATTTTTAACCTCCTCTGGCTGGACTTTTGCCCTGGGGACCACCTCATGGAAGCGCCCTCAGGACAAGGGGCTCGGCTTGTTCTCTGGAAAGGCAGCAGAGTTCATCAGAAATAGTCCTGTCTGAGGAATGACTATGCCACTCTAACTTTGAGGAACACCCACTTTCAGGACTTTTGGTGGGAAACTTGCAACATGATGTAGAATTCTGCACTAAGTCCTGCCATGGTAGGAAGGCAGCCGCCAGGCTTTAAAGTTATTTCCAAGCACTGATGGGCGGGCTTCTGTGTACCACGGGGCCTTCCAGCGCACCCTCAGAGCTTCACACCTGGCCTCTGGAGGGGCCGGAGAGGTGCTACAGCCGCAAGGGCCTCTGGGGGAGCCTGACCTCAGTGGGTGCCTCCGCAGGGTGCTGTCTGAGCGAGCCCTGAGAAGAGCAACGACGTCATGAGAGCCATCGAAATGAATTAAAAACGTCTGTACTTCACACTTTACTCAGGATCAACAAAGCGGTGGACACAGCTCCAGGCCAAGGCCAATGCAGGGCATTCGGCTGGGAGATGTGGAAAAGGGCGCATCCCAGCATCACCCCACTGCCAGCCGGGGCGCTTCAGTCTATGTAGTCAAAGTCTTCTGGAATTCCAAAATTTTTATCAATTTTATTTTCTTCAAATCCAAATTTTCTTTTCGCCCAAGATTTTATTGCAAATATGTTATCTATAAAGAAAATCAAGAAATATTTTGAAAGTTGAAAATATAATCAGAAAACATTTCAAGTATAATTAGATCAATCGCCTCTTTTTACTTTTTTATGTTACTGTCAGAGCAACAAAATAAGTTTTCTACCTTAGAGAGAATAATGGCGATAAACTTCAGGGGAAATATTTCACGAGTATTTTGAATCAATAAATCTCATATTAAAAGTCCAGCAAATCGGTGGCTACTAGAGAACAACCCAAAGTCGGGCAGGCTGGCTGCAGAGCTACTTCTGCTTGTCCAGGGGGGTCGGCACATGTGTGTGTGTGGGGGTGAGGGCGCTGTGACCTCGAATCAGAGCTGCCCCTCTTCTAGAGGGAGCACATTCCCCAGCCTCTTCTCCCTCCCCTGCGGAGAGTAATGACTTCCAGACAATCTGGTCTGTGAGGGAGAAGGGGTGAGCAGAGAAGTGGGGGGGGGGTTCTCCTCTTTTAAGACCAAGACAGGAACAGCTGTAGCCTTAGTGCCCTCTAGTAGGAATTTAAAATGCACTTCACACTGAAAATAAGTGTTACCTATTTAAAGGAAATTAACCCAATAAAATAAAACCACTTGTGTCCCAAGACTGGTAGTCCAGCATCTTCAACATAGTGTAGGAAAAGAAAAAGCCCTCTCCTGGCTACTGGTGTGAACGGGCAGTGAGGGAGGTGGGCAGTGCCAGCAAGCTCGCCATGGCTGCACTTGCGGAAGGAGGACAGCTCTCTTTTAAAATATCTTACACGTTTTTCTTAACAAACAATGTATTACTAAACAGGAAAATGGTCGCAGGTTTTATGGTTCAGATGTTTCCATGAAATGTGAACTCCAGATCAGTGGTGGTGATGGAACAAAGGGTTACCACAGGTTCTTCAGACTGCTGTCATGCTATCCAGCCTGCCCGCCCGCATCTGCTGGAGCCCGAACTGACTCATGTCCTTACTAGAAAAGCGAAGTGGGCCTTCCGAGGTGCCAGAGAGCCCAGGAAAGGCCCTGGAGGACACTGAGGAAGCAGCCACCGTAAGGCCAGGGAGGGGCCGCAAAGTAACCAACTTGCCACTGCCTTGACCTTGGATTGCGGCCTCAGAATCAGGAGAAAACAAATCTGTGCTGTGAAGTCCCCCACTATGAAGTACTTTGTTATGACAAAGTTAAAAACACTAGCAAGTCAAAAACAGTGTTCCAGGAAATTTAGTTTGAAAATCAAATAAAGTATTGGACATGATGTCCATTTCTAATGTGACCACTACTGCGTAAAATGGAATGTTAACAAAATAGCCTCATCTCATTCATTAAAGATGTGATCTCAAAGATATTAAAATGAAACTAGGACCTAGAAGAGAATACTAATAGCATGAAAAACTCTAGAATGATGCTTGGTTTTACTCAAACACAGTCTAGATACGTTCTCACACACACGTACACAGCAAATCAGAGCTCAGTCTGGACACACACACACCCCACCACCACTACTACCTTTCCTGCTGTTTCCTGAGCTGCTTTGCTGAGAACTGCTGGGGGAAATCTCTTTGTGACTCTTAGTTTAAAATAAATATTGACTTGTTTTTTTGTCTTCACTAAAAATTTTGCATCTCTTATGCCCATATAGTATCACTTTATTTATGTTATCAGACACATTTCATTCTTTAATGTTAGTTTTTCTCCTCCTGTTCCTGTCACTAAAGCATCACATTTTTAAGAAATAACTTTGTAATCAATGAAATTATACTTCGTATAGGCACCAAAGGCCAATGATACCCATTTCATCAATCTACTGAGTTCTAAAATAAACAAGGAAAATGATTCTTAGCCTTTTTGTGAACTACAGCAGTTTGGACATAGAGCTAGGAAAACCTGGCTCAAATCTGCTTTTCTGCTGACTAATCACCTTTCACTTCCCACAGTCCCTTTAGGCTTTCTGCACCAATGCAGGCTTCTCCATCCTCTCCCACAGAAACAAAATGAGGATGAGTAATACCTGAAAAGGCATTTTAAATACTTACCGGGATGGAAAAGTTCAATCACCATTATTTTCATAATTAAATACTGGAAAAACATCAGCATAATTTTGGGACAGGTTTTAACAATGCTAATCACACATGCATGTAATTCATAGCAATCATTTCTAACTTTTGTATAAACTTGAAGACACACATACAGTGCTTTACTGACTCCCCTTTTTGGAATATCTCTGTTGACCAGAGCAAGTTATGTACTGGCAAAGAATGAAGAAGGCATTGACATGAAAGCGGGCAGACAGAGAAGACAGCATCAGAAGACAGGAGCTTGGAAGCTGAAGTCAGAAGAGGAGGATTCTGATTCTCGTATCTGCCTGGGACCTACATGACCGTGTGCTGCTGGTGGACTCAGTTACATCTTTGGAGTAAGGACTAATCCTGTCAACCTCACAAGACTTGTGGAGATACAAGGAGAATGCGTGACAGGCACTCCTCACAAGCATTGGGACCCTGGGCGAGGTCAGTCCTCAAAAGCTGTCAGCTACTAGTATCACTAGCAAGAAGACAAATCTTTAGTATTCCATGGAACTCTTAAAATTTTGTCTTTCATTACTCTATTTGAAGGTTAAGTGATTAACTCAAGTAACTTATTTGAGAAAAGTTGCACAATATTAAAGAGGAAGCAATCATTTAGTTTTACAAAATAATCTTATGTGGCTGACCCTTGAATAATATGGGTCTAAATGAAACAGGCCAACTTATACCTGGACTTTTCTCAGTAAATATAAATGCATGAATCGTTACACTGCAGATATGTGGTTTTCTTTTTCACATTATCTTTTTATCTTTGATGTCTAGTGTTGTACACATAACAGCTACATTGTCTCGTATCATATAAGAAAATACTGATGTAGATGTACTGCTAGCAAATTCATCTTGTAAACAGATGACGTAAACTTAAGGTATCAATAACCATAGTATGTTATAAGTGCATTAGGATTTTCTTAAATAACATTTCTTTACTGTATATATTACCTACCATACAAAATATGTTACTTGGCTGCTTACATTATTGGTAAGGAGACATTATAAAAGTAGAATAAGAGGGCCCTCCATGGTGGCGCAGCGGGTTAAATCTCAGCACAGAGAGGCTTGGGCCACTTCCGCATGAGTTCGATCCCCGCCTGACCCGGAGGTGACCACATGGCGCGGCAGACCTCTCCTGACCCGCCCACTGCTCCCCTTAGCAGTGTACTTCCTCAATCTGCCTGTTCTGCTCCCCGCTCTGTCTCTGGTGAATCCTTTCACCCTCCACATCTCTGGCCTGTACCCCAGTTCTGTATGAATAAATCTTTAAAAAAAAATAGAATAAGAAGGTGTAGTGTATACACACACTGAGATACTACTCAGTTATGAAAAAGATGAACCTTTCCATGTGGAACAACATGGCTAGAACTGAAGGGGACTATACTAAGTGAATTAAGTCAGGAAGAGGAAAAGAGAAAAACGAATAGCAAGTGATTTCACGTATATGTACACTATAAAGAACCAAAGGGATAGGCAAAACTAATCAAAACTAACCTTGGAATCTTTAAAACTACATTTGTAAAATACAGTTGACTCTTGAACACCACAGGGTTCAGGGGCAGAACTGAATCTACCAGAGGGAAAGGGGGTGGGGACGGGAGCAAGTGGTGGAAGAGGACCAATGGGGTGAACAGGATCAAGGTGCTGTGGCGTGGTAACATACATGGGAACAGGTGTGAATCTGTATGACTCATGGCTGCATAAATCAATGCTGTATCAATAAGATTATTTTTAAAAATATCAATAAGCTTAAAAAAGTTTTACACTGTTTTTTGACTACAAGGGGCAGTGGGTACCATGAAACCCTGTGATATACAAGGGTCAACTATATTTTATAAATGACTTTCAGGGGCTCCCCTTGTGGCACAAGGGGATAAGTGCCAGCACTATGAGACTATCCAAAGCCACTGCAACACAAGTTCAATCCTCAGCCCAGAGGTGACCCACATGGCGCGGCAGACCTCTACTGGCCTGCTTGCTGCTCCCCTCAGCATTGCATTTCAGTAGATCTGCCTGTTCTGCTCCCCTCTCTGTCTCGGTGAATCCTCTCACTCCTCCCCACCCCCCACATCTGGCCTACACCCCAGATCTATATGCATAAATAAAATAAATTAAAACAATGAATTGTAAGATTTGAAAATTAACCCTAATTAACTGAAATAAGTCAATGCATAAAACTCCATTAACATATACATTTCAGGAATGTCTTTTCTTGCACTGAGACTTTATGTCATAGTAGTGTAGAGGCAGTGTAACTAGTAACCTGTGTCACTGTAACACATACCAGTCCATCGGTTAGCAGCTTCTTTGGCTACTTTATTTGCTTGACCTAAAAAAAGAAGAAAAAATGTGTCTATATATACACACACACACAAACACATTAATTATCTTCAGTTATCTACAGATTAATTTTTTTATGTGAATAAAAGATTAAATAAACAGTTATGGGAAAAAAGCTCATAGGGCTTTCCAAGGAAATTTTAGATGGTTGCAATTATGTTAGTTTCGGGAGCCCTTCTCCCCAAGGAAACCAGACTTCCCCCTTCCCATGGGTGTCCAACATCGGAGGCTCATAAGCTTTGCGCCACTGGCTTTGAATGACGCGGCACACGGGCTGAGGCATAGGGTATGCACACCGAGCTCTCGGGCTGCCTCTGCAGAAACGTTCACATGTGTATTTTATTTCTTCATATTAATCAAATTACTGTCCAATGTCCTTTCTTCAGTGGGAACGACGTTCCGATTTGTTTTTTTAGGGCAGGTCTACTAAATGACAAGCTCCCATTGTTTATGTAGAACCTCATGTTATCCTTTATTTTTGAAGGAAAATATTTCTAGATATAGAAGTTTCGGTTATTGAAAATCACTTATATAGGATGAGTTGTTTCTTGTAGCTGCTCATTTTTTGATAGATTAGATTATCTCAATCAAACTATCTTACTCTATTCATGTTTATGGATTCCTTCTGCCTGCTCAAATCTGCTATTAGTCCTACTAGAGAATTTTTCATTTTAGTTATTGCAGTTTTTAACTGTAGAATTACAACCTGGTTCCTTTTTTGCAGTAATTTCAATCTCCTTATTAATATTCTCTATTTGGTAAGATATTACCCTCAGATTATCCTGCAATTCATAGGCATGCTTTTCTTTAGCTCTTATTTTTAAAAAGATTTATTTTATTTATTTATGCACACAAGAGCTAGGGTGTGAGCTAGGGTGTAGGCCAGAGGCATAGGAGTGACAGGACTCCCCAGAGGCAGAGTGGGAGCAGAACAGGCCGATGCACTGAAATCCACTGCTGAGGGCGCAGGGGGGCTGCAGAGCGCTTCAGAGTGCTGAGACTTATTAACCCCTTGTGCCAGCAGGAGGCTCCTTCTTTAGCTCTTTTAACACAGTTATAACAGCTAATTTAGTTCTACACGTTTTGGTGCACGAGTCGCATTTATTCCTTTGCATGTCTCGCAATCTTTGGCTGACAAGTAGATTAAAGAAATGGAATCTGGCCATGTGGGAAATCAGAGCTTTCCTTCCTTTCCAGTTTGGTGGTTGTTATTCATCTAGTTTGGTTGTTTGCTTGATGATTACCCTGTAAAATATACATTCTTTGCTATCAATAGTCAATGAAGTCTCTAGTCTTCAGTTAGGTTATTGTTCAGTTTAATGACTGAGCACAGATTTCCTTCACCACCTGAAGTAAATCTCCAAGTCCTTGCTAAGAGGTGTGTGCTTTAATACTCAGCTAGGAAATTTACAACTTAGTCTTCACTTCCTGCTTGCACTGAACGTCGAGGTCAGCTAGATAGAGAGCAGGGCCTTCTCAGGTCTTTCCTGAGAATGCACACATCCATTTGCAGGCGTGTGCCTTCTAGATTTCCAGGAATATGTTGCTCTTCATGGTAACCTATGAACATCATTTTTAAGCTTCTCCTTTAATGTGTTTGATCAGTCTACTTGCTGTTTGCCTGAGAGAACTGTGAAGTTAAAACTCTTGCCTGTACTCATCTTAGACAAATGCTCCCTAAAGAGAGGCTTTTAACACTGGGTGGACACCAAGGCAGGTAAAATAAGACAATCTTTTCTAATGGTATCTTTCAAGAAACACTCAAAACATCAAATAATGAAAATTCCTGGGAATGAGGGCCCCAAAGCACTGGAACTCCATGCTGTCTCCTCTGAGAGCAGGAATGCAGGCAGCTATTTTTCAAGGTTACTATTGAGCCAGAGGACAGAGGAAGTCAAAACGTTACAAAGCTTGCTGTTCTGAGATTCAGTCATTTTCCTTAAAACCTTTGGTTAGTTTTTAATTGTGGAAAAGCCGTGACAATATTTGCCAGTTTTCATAGAAGAGTATGTGTTCAGAGGTCTTTATCATTTTCACTGTCATCCTGGCATTATTTCTAAGAAAATTTCTTTTAAAAAAATTATTTATGCATACAAGAACTGAATTAGTATAGGCCAGAGGTATGGAGGGAAATCGGAGGAGAGTGTGTTTGAGAGGATTTTCAGACAGAGTGGGGAGCAGAGCAGGCAGATCCACTGAAATACACTGCTGAGTGGAGCAGTGGGTGAGACAGGAAAGGTCTACCGTGCCATGTGGGTCACTCCTTGGCTGGGGAATGAACTTCAGCTGAAGTAGTTGCGGCTACCTTTGCAGTGCTGTGCTTTAACCTGGTATGCCACCAGGGAGAGCCCTACTTTTAAGTATTTCAATGGTAATTTAACTTATACTACAACTTATTTTAATCACTTTTTACTTAAGTAATGATTAGAATAGGTAAGATTACAATCTTTGAATAACTTACTGCAGTCATTTCTCTTATGGGAATTTTGCACGTAATCTTTCTAATACATAATGATATCAATAACTCAACTAGCATGACGGAACATAAATATTTACTGCAGAGGAATTATTGAGCAATAACAGATAGTACACAGACAAGTCTACATGAACATAAGGGTTATATTTATTATCAGCAGAAAAACTGCTTTGAAATAAACCAGGACAGACTTAAGAGAAGCTGATTGCCCTAAAGTGTGCTATAGGCAAGCTATTAAGAATTAAATCCTATTAAAATTAATTTCTGGCATTTATAATCCTTTAATCCAGTATAATCTATACTTCAATAATGATATCTGAAATCCAATGAGACCCCTCACTATCAAAGGGATCATTTTGAAACAAGCATGTCTTTGGGGAAAGGGAGTGGGGTGAGGAAAAGTTAAATTCTAAACATGAACATGTTCCCTACGCTTGGTAATAAGGAAATCACTGCCAAGTGCTACTTGAATATTTAAATTTCTTGGCTTTACAAGTTTTAATTTTCATCAATTTGGAAAAAGATTGAGACTTCGGTTCTTCAAACATTTTTCTGGCCTGAAAGACGCCCTCTTCCCTCGACACACATTTCGCCTGGCACTCTGACCGTATACTATTAAGTTGCTGGAAGTTGTCCTAGAACTCAAAAAAGCAATTTTCATATTAAAATGTTTTGTTTCTCTTTGAGTTTCATTTTAGAGTTTCAATAGCTAGGTCTTCAAATACATGAATCCTTCACTCTTCAAGTTTTGATCCACTGTTAATCCAATCAAATGTCCTTCATCTCAGACACTGTAGGTTTCTAGGGCTCAAGGGAGGCCGAAGGAGAGATGTCAAAGGGGTATAGTGGATACTGGTGGGGAAAAAATGAAAATGAAGTGGCTAATTTAAAGGGGTGGAGGGAAGCTATTTTCTAGTCTGTCTTTTGATCAGCTGGCTTCCTCCACCACTGGTCTTTGCTATGAAGACCAAGAAGTAATGTCCTTATAAGACCAACAGCAAAACAGTTTGTTTCCTTTTCAAGATGAGTCACGAGCAGCCTAACTTCCTACAGTAACAGCGCCCCCCCCACCTCCTTTGATGTGTTCATCTTTAGTGCTTCATTGACAGTAATTACAACTTTAAGACAGGGTAAAGTGGTTATTTTAAAGTAGTAGATTTGGTTCTCACTTTTTTCTTCAGGATGATAAATGAAATGAATCTGTGGGCAGTGTGAAAGATCTAACACATCTCTCTAAAAACTTCATTCGTGGGAGATGACCAGCTCAGAGGATCCTTCTGACTCCTGAAAATCAGCCCAGGGAACAGCTCCCCAGCTGCGCGGAGCTGTGCAAAATCCACCCCTCTCGTCTCTGCACACCAGGCCCTGTCTGCAAAATGAAGTTTTACCTCAGATTTACACTAACTGAACAGCTTAAAAATTTTCAATTGTAAAAAATAAAAAATATCAATTAAGGCTAGTTTAACTGCAATAAGACTATTAGGCTAACTTGTATTTTCAATTTCTTTCAAAAAGCTTCAAGCACACATGCCAGTTATTCTAATAAGTTCCCTAAAGAGGAAGATAACCAGAAAAAAAAAAAGAAGAAAGTTATGTATCTGACAATAATAACGTGTAATGTCCTTCTAAAAGTCTTTAATTTCCTCAACTATTCAAATGTTTATCTTTACATAAATCTGTAAAATTATTCAAAATGAAACATTGGGAACTCTGGTTTAAAAGTAGTTAAAACACCATTGGTATATTCAAAAGGCAAGTCAACATCCAGAATGGTTTTCCACAGTTTGCAAACACTTATAGTTTTGGAATCAGTTTTCCTAGAAGATAGTATAGTGGTGAGTGGACTTCTCTACAGAGCTAAGGAACGTGGATGCAAGTTAGATCCTTCTCTAACGCCTCAGTTTCCTAAGCTTTTATTTTATACCTTTACTACCTTCTACCTACCTTCCTTACTCTCTAAATGCTTAAAATGTCAACGTTGTCATGCTTTGTGATGCTTTAAGTTTCCTTAGTGGAAATTTTAATGCAATTTTAATACTATTAAAGGCCTTATTTCTCAGATGCAAATAGAATGGTTACCGGATAACAACAAGCATACTCTCTCTCACTAGCAAAGTAAGACACCTCAAGGTGTACAAAGACTTACGTATTTCTTCCACAACCTGTGGGTCACATTCTTTGTATTTTTCTACTTCTGCCTTTAGCTGTTCCCTTTGGTCTCGAAGTGAAGAAAGCTCTTTTGCTAGCATGGTTCTCTCTTCCTGCATCCAAAAAAAATGTAAAATTATAACAAGCCAAATGACTGTAGTTGTTTTCATAAAAAATGTACATTAGGCTTTTGATATTAGTGCGTGTATGTGTGTATACATACATACACACACACACATATATACATATAACATACATATATTTACAGTGTAAGAACAAACTCATCTTTCTCTGAAATCTCAAGCATCTTTTATGTAGACCGAATAACTAAGTGGGAATTTATAAGTAGAATGGATTGTTCATAAATAAAGAAAAGACTACCAATTACATAGGGATGAACCCAATGACAACAATGACATTGTAAGTTAGGAAAAAATGATACTGGACAGTTTCATAAGATTACATCTGTTGTATATAAGTAATATTTTCTCATAACATCAATCATTTGAAAATTTTTAACCTTTAAGGATAATTAATCTTTAAAACAGTAATCAGAATCTAGAAAGTAAATGGACTTTTAAAAACCCTAACATAGAGAATACTGCACCTTATAAAATAGAATAGGTCACTAGACATTTTACTGTCTTAGAAGTATTATGAGGCCACCATATCACCACACTGCTGGTTTTGATTTGCTTGGTGGCAACATTTTTAAAAATACAATTCTAAAAGTTGACATGTTTATATAAGGTTTACCTTTGGCCAGATATCAGCTAATGTGCAAATATCAGCTAACTTAATCCACACAATAAACCGACGAGGCAGATTTTTACTATTCCCCACTGTACAACCGAGAAAACTGAGAACCCATTGTTTGGGAGACTATGAAACTCAGGCAGGGTAGCTCTGGGGTTGGTTTCTCAGCTCTGCTGCCATAAAAATACCACCATAATTTAAGACATAATCATAAGCAGTGAGTCCCAGCGGCCAGCCCCTCCCCAATGCCACTGGCAGCAGTGAAGCCTCCTCGCAGAAAGTTCGCGTCCCTGCTCTTCAGTCAGCACCGACGTGATCCGCAGACTTACCGTTTCCTGTCGGCCAATCTTAGCTTTCTCAATGCTTTTCTGTAGGGTTGCATGCTTTTGGTTTCCCTCAGATAACTAAAGAATTAAAAAACAAGTATAGTGGCCTGTTAAGATGAACTTGCTATGAGTTTATAAGGCAAAATGAATTGACTTGGCTTTTGGCCAAGTCAATGTAGCAAACACACAAAAATCAAAAATCACCGAAACGAGTGTCTCTAATTTGAAGAAAACCAAGTATTGGGAGTCATTAGTGCAGACAAAAAAAAAAAAAGTTTTACTATTATTTCTTCTCCTGCATAGGAAATTAATACATGCTTTCAAACTTTTCTACAGTTTTCATTTATCCTGTTCCCCACCTCCTCTCAAATACCTTGAGGTGCAAGATTTAGTCAAACATTGAATTGAAAATTTAAAAACATGTTTTATATATATTCTCCCTTCTAGTTATATTTCACTCTGACTTTCTTTTCAACACACCTACACTGTCCTTCTGGCCTGCCGTATTGGGCGCTACTTCATTAACAGCCAAAAGTGAACACCACTTCTGACCCTGGAAGTATTTTATGAGGAATTGCGAGGCTTTATATACTAAGTGTAGAAAAGGAAAAAAATCTATTAGTGTGTTGATGGATTTGTCCATTTTAGGAACCTTAAAGTGATCAATATAATAATTCATTAAGCTTTATTAGATGTCATAAAGAGATGGATAAATTAATTAACAGCATAAAGAGATCATAGATGTAGAATATTCACTAGAGGGGACCTCACATCAAAAAAGTTTAGTTCATTTCAGAACACTGCCTTTGTCCTGTCTCCATTTTACTAATCTCACCTGGAGCCATTACTAAATAATCACAGGAAGTTCCCAGAATTTAATTCTCAAGCGCATCTTTTGCTATAAATTAGCTAGAAATTTCAGACTCTTTTGACTGGGTAAGGACCTTATTGAAAATGTGTTCTTCTCTATCCTCATTCTTGAATTATAAACATTTAGATAAGAATTAGTGATTGGATGAATTTTCTCTTTTGGCTGTTACAAGACACTGACCTTTCACAACATGACCTATTATATACAGGCAGCAAGTAATAATTAGACACCCTTTTTTGCTTAAAAAAAAAAAAAAAAAATTCAGGGCCCTCCCTGGTGGTGCAGCAGGTTAAAGTATGGCACTAAGAAGCTAAAGCCACTTAGGCATGAGTTCGATCCCCACCCCGGAGCTGACCCACATGGCGTTGCAGACCTCTCCTGTCTTGCCCGCTGCTCGCCTCAGCATAGTACTTCATCAATCTGCCTGTTCTGCTCCCCACTCTGTCTCTGGTGAATCCTCCCACCGCCCCTGCACTTCTGACCTGTACCCCAGTTCTATATGCATAAATAACTAAATCTTGAAAAAAAAAATCATGCATCCTGGAAGTTGGTAGCTTTACCCCCACTTTCGGAAATCCCAGCCCCCTTGGTGTGCATAGGGGCACTGTGAGGGTCCTTTGATGTTCCTCAAAGCATATTACTCCTGCACCAACAAGACCCAGCTGTGAGGCAAAGGAGAGTAATGATCTTTTGTTAAAAACCAAAAATCTGCTGCAAATTTATGAGCCAAAACAAGCCTTAAAGTCCTAAATTTAGCAAGGAGATCAAGTTCTTTAAAACAATGGCTCCCATTTATAAAATAATGCCATGTTTAGAAAGTTAATATTCCACCCTGAAGGAACCACCTGAAATAATTAATAAATGTATACAACATTGAATTCAGCAGATTTTCCAATGAGAAACTACATATTAACGTAACGGTTTTTAAAAAATGTTTTTAAAATAACCAGATAGATACTGTTATCCGAAAAGTTAAGTTATATAGAAATAAGCCAATAATTTATGGATTTATCTTCACCATATTAATGAAGTTCTTCTACTTTGTTAAATAGAAGTGTAGATGTAATTATTTACAAGTCAAAAACACTTGAAGGAGAGCTAGTTAGCAATTCCTTAACTCTGTAAACATTTGCATTTCCACAAGCAGCCTGGTATAGCTGATGTTAATAGTGCGGGGAACATCACACTTTAGGAAGTTCTCTGTCAAATAAAAGCCTGTTTTCTCGCAGTCAGGAGCTCAATTAAATACACAAGAGTATTACCTAGTTCATCAGTAAAAACAAATTATGATAAATATTGTAGTCTGAACTAGAAACATGTTATTTCTAAATTTTCTGTTATCAAAAAATGTTTTGCATATTAACAGAAAAAGAAAAAGGAGTAATAACTACATATTCAGTAGAGATTCATCACAGGATTCCTTTCAAAAGCAAAATCTGGGGCAACAGGTTAGGACTGAGCACTCCAAGCGAGTCCCAGCCCCTTCAGTGCTAGCTTGATTCCCCACCCCCCACCCCAGAGGTGACCACATGGCATGGCAGACCTCTTCTCTCTCTCTCCCTGCTCCTCTCAGCAGTGTACTATCAATCTGCCTGTTCTGCTCCCCACTCTGTCTCTGGTGAATCCTCTCACCCCTGCACCTTTGGCCTGTACCCCAGTTCTGTATGCACAAATAAAGAAATCTTCTTTTTTTAAAAAAGCAAAATCTGATATATTTTTATAATACAACTATAATATTTTAACCAAGTACTTCCAAATTTTAATAAAGCAGCTAATTAAAAAATAAAACCACCAGTAACGCTGACCAAAAAATAGCAGCAGTTACAACAAAATTTGCCTATAACTAGTACTAATAGGATTTCATCTTTAGATTTGAAAGCTGACACAATGCTTCTCCTCAATACCTCCGGCCCCCCTATACAGACAACTCAGGGCTGAGGATCATAATGCCAGTGTTTTCTAACCAGCTAACTTAATGCCTGGAGGAACTGCCTATTCATAAGAGGAACAGAAAGATTGATTCAAGCTGGCTATACTGGAATTCTGATTTTCTCTTTTGTAGAAAAAAAAATGGAAGCACTAGGGGAGGAATACAAATACAGATTTTCACAGGTGGGAAAGCATTTTAAGGAACAGTGAATGGGGGCAACACGATTAGTCCACTCTTTCACCAAAATTCACATAAAATATGTGACAGGAAAGTACATTTGGTCTTTTTTGTTTGTTTTTCGTTAAAAAAAGTTTCATTTACTTAAAAGAATTCATATATTTTAAAAGACTTGTTAGAATACCTACAACTTCAAAAATCCTTTTAAGGTGATATTCCAGGAGGAATTGATCATAAGGAAACAATTAACAGTATAAAGATATATATGTGTGTACATATACATATATGTACATATATGTATGTCTTTATATGTATGTGTGATAATTACAGGAGTCATGTAATTATCTTAACAATAGAGAAATGTTAAGTATTTCACAATTATGCAGTCAAAGAAAATGTTTTAGAAGAATTTTTAATGACACTAAGACAGAGAATAGCATCAAAAATTAGGAACAAAACTCACTACATTTGAAAGCCTATCTGTGACCAGAAAAACTGCAAAAAAATGCAAAAAATTCAAATAATGGTATCTTTGTATTGTGGTACCTACTTTAACTTTCTAGAAAAATGAGCATATATAATAATTATTTAAAAAATTATTCCCAGCTCTCCCTGGTGGCGCAGTGGGTTAAAGCACAGCACTGAGAATCTAAAGCCGCTTCCGCATGAGTTCGATTGCCCTAGAGGTGACCACATGGTGTGGCAGACCTCTCCTGACCCACCCGCTGCTCCCCTCAGCAGTGTACTTTGTTGATCTGCCTGTTCTGTTCCCCACTCTGTTTCTGGTGAAGCCTCTCACCACCCCGAGCCTCTGGCCTGTACCCCAGTTCTGTATGCACAAATAAATAAATCTTAAAAAGAAATTATTTCTATTGTAAGCAATATATACAATGTGCAAATGTGTTCATTCATTATGAGAATTAAATAAGATTAGATAGTACTAAAATGAGTTTTCAGGTCTAAAAGACTCTAACAAGACAACTGCTTAAACAAAGGCCCATTTCGCCTCCCTACCTTTGCAAACCCCCACCCCCCGCTCCCCAGATGTGACCACTATAAGGTCTAAGGACATCCCCCATTCTGTTCCTTTGCTTTAGAGCCTAATGTGAATGGGTATCGAGAACATCTTGAAACACTCATGGGATTATCCTTTAAGTAGTGCTCTACAAACTGCTATTTGCAGAGAAATTCCCAGTGACAACACACAGGGAGGCCTATCTGCCTCATTTTCTGAAGAATAGACTTTAGTTTTTAGAGCCACTTTAGCTTCATAGCAAAATGGAATGGAAGGTTCTGAGATGCCCCTATAACCTCTGCCTCCTCTCCCGGCACCCAGGCTCCCCACACTGTCCCCCTCAGACTGGCACACGTGTGTCACTACTGGTCAGCCCACATGCACAAATCACCACCTCCCAAGGTCGACGCTGATCTTAGGGCTCACTGGGGGCTGTATATTCTAGGGTTCTGACAATACACAGCGACATCACCCAGCATTATGATATCTGAGCATTCATACCGAACAGCCTCTGTGCTCTGCCTATTCATCTCCCCAATGTGTGGAAACCACTGATCCTTGCATTACTTTATAGTTTTGTATTTTCAAGAAAGCCATATAGCTGGACTCGTACATCTTGTAACCTTTCACTGTACCCTCTATCACATATAAGCCACATTTAACAATAACACAAAAGCACCCAACAACAGGACTAGCTTTGTGGAGCTTTAAATGCATAAAGTCCTCAGTGACATGAACACCAGTGTTAAAATATATAATTCTGATATTCTCTCCGAGGGAAAAAAAAGGCCAGAAAAATTAGGGTTATTCCAGGAAACCCAGGATAAACATGGCTTTGATACTGTCACCACCTGTGGCAAAGCTGTGGATCCAACTTTTTGTGGAACAAATCTTTTCGTGGCTGGTTGATTCGAGGAGAAAATAGTTATGAAGAACAGCCATTGCAAGCCCAGAATTCATGTGATGCACAGAAGAGTGTTTTGGGACATGCAGGGAACTCTACAGTTCCTTGAGTCAGGCTTTTCAAATGCACCCAGCAAGAGGCTCTAACAGCAAAGTAGAGTAATTCCTGGGGGAAAGTTTAG